GTGGTATTAACACTTCACGGGATCTTGATTCTATCCCTCTGTTGATGCAACCTAGAACTGTGTTGGCTTTTTTGACAGCTGCTGCACACGGCTGGCTCCTATTTAAATGGTTGTCCACTTTATGTCCTATTTATGACGGTCGCAGCGTCCCGTGATCCCCTTTTGAACACTTGTGAGAGGCCGAGTCGAGATGAAGTGAAGCCAGATTCCCTTAACGAGCGTGCTACTAACTTAACAGCTGCGTTGATTAATTTGGACCCAAAATTTATGCTCAGTGAGTTTTGCCCCATTTTTTTCAGTGCTGTTGTAACTTTGAAGAGTCACTAAACGGACCGTTGTAAGTAAAGGACTATGTGTATTAAGTAAAACACAGCCACAGCCAGCAAGAGACAGAAATGGAGGAGAGCCAGGTTGTTATGACAAAATACAGATAGTCCTTGATTTACAACAGTTCATGGAGTGACTGTTTAGAGTTCCAACAGCACTAAAAAAAGTAATTCAGGACCGTTTTTCATACTTGAAAAAGTATGCAGCATCTCCAGGGTCACGTGATCAACATTCAGAACCTTGGCCACAAATTCATACTTATGATGGTTGCAGGGTCCCGAGATCAAGTGATCATCTTTTGTGACCCTTCGGACAAACAAAGTCTCCCTTAACAACGGTGTTACTAGCTTCATTGCAATGATTTGCTTAACAACCGTGGTGAAGAAGGTCGTAAAACGGGATGAAACTCAGTGTAATAAATGTCTCACTTAGCCACAGAAATGTTGGGCTCTGTTATGGTCATAAGGTGAGGACTACTTGTACATCGGTTCTCCCAAGGTGGACCTTCTCTTTCACCTGACATTGCGTTGAGACCACTCAATGGTCTTAAGATGAATCACATGACCAGGATCGGCTAGCTTTTTTCTGTGGCCGGCCAGCAGATCTGGCAGCAGATTCGGACAGTGAGGAGGTTGGGGAGGAACCTGGGCCAGTCCTGGAGTCTGGGGAAGGCTCTGATGAGGGCTCTGTCCTGGAGGCAAAGAGAGGGCCAGGGTCATCCAACAGTTATCAGCTGCCTTCGGAGTTGGAGATCAGTGGGGCAGAAGAACAGCTGGAGCCTGTTCCCAGTGTGCACATGAGCAGAGCTGCCAGGAGAAGGGAACATCTAAAGAACAAGGGCCGACTTGGGAGTAAAGGCACAGGTGGACGGTGAATGGCCCCTCCCATAGAGAATAAAGAGGAGCGAAAGGGGAGTGGAGTTTGCAGGAGACAATTAGTTCCATTCATTAGGGTGAAGATCTGTTCCTGGCTCCTTGCTAAGTAATTGCTGCTACAGCGTGGAGTTTGGAAGATATTGGCCTGGCAGCTCGCCAAGCCTGATCAAGGTCTGTAGTTGTGAAATCTCACGAAAGTCTGTTGGCTGGGACTTTGCTGGAGAGGAATTCCCTTTAAACTAAACAAAAGTGGTTTTATCGTGACAAGGAGATCGGCTTCGTGCTCTTGGGATGCCTAGGGTCAGAGCAGCTAGGGAACTCTGGGAGTTGAAGTCTACATGACTTAAATGTAGTCACGTTTGAGAAACCCAGCTTGATGGAGTGTGGGCAGCCCCCCCACCCCCAGGTGCATTCTCATGAGTTTATTCCTCGCAGTTAGGGGTCTTCATCAGATGCCCGTCTCTTTCAGGTTCCTGAGTGCGCTGGCAGTGCTAGCGGAGCGGCCCGAGTTGGTGGAAAGGGTCATGATCACACGGACCATGTGCCCCGAGGGGGCTTACCAAGTCCGGCTATGCAAAGATGGCACCTGGACCACCGTGCTGGTGGATGACATGCTGCCCTGCGATGAGTGTGGCTATCTCCTCTTCTCCCAGGTGGGTGCCATGAATTGGGAGAAAG